CGTCTCCCCGGCAGGTGGTGGTTGGCAGCGATAAATCGTTCACGTACGACTACGTGTTCGACCCCTCGGTGGAGCAGGAGGAAGTGTTCAACACGGCGGGCGCCCCCCTCGTACGAGGCATCTTCAAAGGTTGGTGGTGACCGAGCTCCGGCTCTGCTGTGACACGCCGGGGGGCTCTGTGGGCCCGGCTGGGGGGGCAGAAGGAGCTGCTTAGTTCTTCGTTCTTTGATTTTCTCAGCAAAATGAAATCCTGCACTGTCTAGATACTGACTCCAGCCTCTAGTGAGAAATGCCCAGTCTTGCAGGGCTAACACAAAGGCTCGTTCTCTGGGTCGTTCTGGTTCCTGAAGCTGTTTTACATAAAGCAAGAGAATTTTATCAAGAATAACACAATAAATCGATAAGCATCCCGTACCAGAAGCTGCTGGCGGTGCTACGGTAGAGCTGGGCTGACAAAGAACCTACAGTGTGTTTCGGTGACGTGCTCTGGTAAAGGAACAGTGCAGTCTTAAAAAAAGAGCTGGAATAACAACTGTGGCTTGGGGACCTTTTCACCGCCTTCTCTTCCCTCGGTGCTAACTGTGACCCACGCACAAAGCTGGTGTAAAGCGGCAGTGAGGGGCAGTGCTTTTCCAGAAGGATGCTTTCATAGAATGCAGCTTTGTTCCTCGAAGTTCTGTCTGGTTCCCGCGTGACTGTCTGATCCCTTGTCCCCTCCCCCAGGGTATAATGCCACTGTTTTAGCCTACGGACAGACGGGATCTGGAAAAACATACTCCATGGGAGGTACCTACACCGCCAACCAAGAGCATGAGCCGAACGTGGGGGTCATCCCTCGGGTAATCCAACTGCTGTTTAAGGAGAAGGAGCAAAGGCAGGATTGGGAATTCGTCCTCAAAGTTTCTTATCTAGAGGTAAATACTGGGTTTGGTTTTTAAAGCTACCTTAAAGCTATGAGTTGCACATAAAGTGAGCTCTGACGAGGCCAACTCCTTCAAGTAATAGAAATTCATTAAGTCAAAAACCTAAGATTACATAAGGTTTTGAAAGGGACTGGATTCTGAGTCTTGGGTATCTTTTTCTAAGGGTGAAATGAGAAGGATGTCGTGCAAACTTGGCCACGATTTCAGTGTAACTGCATTCTCTTATAAGGCTGCTGACTGACTTGCCCTTTGGATGCTTTCAGATCTACAATGAGGACATTCTGGACCTGCTGTGCTCCTCAAGAGAACGGTCTTCTCAAATCAGTATCCGTGAAGATCCGAAAGAAGGCATAAAGGTCCGTTGTCCTGTCAGATGTGGGTACATAAGAGGGTGGTGTGGCTCAGGACTAGTGGTTTGGTGAAGCAGCTGTCTGGCTTCCTGAGCAGCACTTTGTGTTAGTGAGTATGAACTCGTCACAACTGCTCACTCCTCTCAGATGTTGGTGATCCTTACTTTTACTCGAAGTAACACCGATAGGATTAGGTATGACAAAGCCACTTGCAAGTCCTGTTCTGTCTTTTCTTGAAGGTTGATTTAGGTAAATACCCGAGAGCGTTGTACTTCACCAAATTTCAAACTCTGTTGCAATCGCACTCTTCAGTTTGGCAGAAGTAGCGAGGGACAAGGGGATCCCGAGTGGAACCTATTTAAGTGTCCAAGGTGCTTTTTTAGTGGTTTTGTGTGCTTATAGTGTAGTGCAGAAAAACCTCTGTCCTTTTTTTCCCTCACACCTGCCTTTGCTCTATTCACACAAATACCCCACCCTCCTTCAGCCCGGAACTTCAGCACGACTTTCAGCTCCCAGCTTGGCCGGGGATATCTGAAGGCAGCCAAGAGTTTCTCCCCAGAGCACCAATGCAAAGTTCAGAATAAGTTTCTACTGGGGGGATCCACACCATGGCTCCATCTTGAAGCGAGATTCTGATTCCTGTGAACATGTATTGACACGGAGACTTTGTCTGCCGTAGTCTAAAACAGAGGATAATTTTTTCTGATATAAGTTGGGACGAGGAGAAAGGAGAGGATAAATGATGTTTTCCTCCTGGAACAGATTGTAGGGTTAACAGAAAGAAGTGTCAGCTGTGCCCAAGACACTGTATCCTGCCTAGAGCAAGGCAACAATTCCAGAACGGTGGCCTCCACGGCGATGAACTCCCAGTCCTCACGGTCCCATGCCATCTTCACCATTTGCATTGACCAGAAGAAGAAAAACGACAAGTAAGTGTGATTGTGCAGCTGCTCCCAGCAGCTGTCAGGGCTCAGGTTTACTCACAATGTCATCATTTTGCCGTTCTCTCTTGGTCTTGGATGAACTCAGCTGAGCTCCTCTTGAGGCAGTTCCTTTACTTGGCTGTCTCGGATACAAAGTACATTTTTCCAGCCCAGTAGTTCAGCTGTAATAACTACTGCTCCTATCCAAGCTGCATGTTTACCTGAGGTTGTAAAACAGTCTGTTTCTGCCACAGGAACAGCAGCTTTCACTCCAAGTTACACCTGGTTGATCTTGCTGGTTCTGAGAGACAGAAGAAGACCAAGGCTGAGGGAGACCGACTGAAAGAAGGTCTGTGGGAAAAGAACGATTATAGCTTGGGTTTCTCACCTCTTTTGAGTTAATAAATGCAGTCCTTGTCAGGAAAAGCAAAGCAGTTCTTTAATTAACCCTTATAATGTGATTGTTTTTAATCATCCTAATTTTTTTAGGACAGGAAATGACCAATTGCTAGTTGCTGAGGTGTTCTCTGTTCGTGTGCAGGCATCAACATCAACAGAGGTCTCCTCTGCCTGGGGAATGTAATTAGTGCTCTTGGTGATGAAAATAAAAAAAGTGGGTTTGTGCCCTACAGAGACTCAAAGTTAACAAGACTGCTGCAAGGTAAGAGGCAGGCGATGATGAAGTCTAAACCTGCAGATGCGCTTTAAAAAGCAAAGTAGCAAAAAACCCCAACTGTCCTACCCACTCATGCGGTCTTAGATATCTTACTGATGATATCTTACTGATGATATCTTACTGATGATATCTTACTGATGATATCTTACTGATGATATCTTACTGATGATATCTTACTGATGATATCTTACTGATGATATCTTACTGATGATATCTTACTGGTCACTCTTGCTCTCTCTCAAAGCTTTGATTGTGCCCTGTTTTCCTTCTCAGATTCCCTGGGAGGCAACAGCCACACTCTCATGATTGCCTGCGTCAGCCCAGCGGATTCCAACCTAGAAGAGACTCTAAATACTTTGCGTTATGCTGACAGAGCAAGAAAAATAAAAAATAAACCAATCGTCAACCTTGATCCCCAGGCAGCCGAGTTGCATAATCTGAAGCAGCAGGTACGGGGAAGCGAAGAGCTGTTGCTATGTGGTTGACTTTAGAGGGAAGCAAGTCACATAAATGAGAATTACTTAAATCCAAAGCTGGAAGGGTCCAAGGCCTTGTCTACTGAAAAATCCTGTTGCTCAGCGAGATCTGATGTGTGTCACTTGTCTGTGGGTGACTTCAGGTGCTTCTGATCTGAGCATTCGGGATGAAGAGAAGGTAGTTTGGGGTTCTTTTTAGGGCAAATTGAAATGCTGTAGCAACACGATTCCTTTCCACAGGCAGTGGAAAAAGCACAGTTGTGGAGCAGGTAACTCCTGCTTAAGACTAAGGATCTTAAAGGTGTTCTTCATCTATTTTCTATATGGGAGAGTTTTTGCATCTAGTAATTGTCTTTCTAGGTACAACAGCTACAGGTGTTACTGCTGCAGGCCCACGGAGGGACCCTCCCGATGGCGATCAAGTAAGCTTTGTAGATTAATGCTCAGTGTATCCGATGGCCTCCACATGCCAGCAGAGGCTCTACATCTCACTGGCTCTAGACAGTGCTGTCCAGCGAGGAGAGAGCAAACCGGTTACTTTCTAATAGGATCTGAACGATTTCTTCTTTCTTTTCGTCACACTGAAATTCCGTGCATGTTCTGGGTCATTTAGCTCTGTGGCAAATGCCTTAAGATTGCGAAAATCCATTGTGAGAAGTGAGAGGAACTTGGTAATATTTCTTAACGGAGCATCTGTTTCTGGGGCTCATCTGTCCCTTTGTCCTTCCTCATCACTTTACCCTGAAATGTAGGGCACTTCCATCTCTGCTGTTCTTTAAAACGCAAAGTGCAGGGATGAGTTGGATTGTGAAGGTGTTTTCTTCTGAGGACACTTCAAAACCCAAGTTCACCCAGTTTACAGACTTGCCACTGGTTGAACAGCGTTACTGTTTCAAAAGGGTGTTTTCTGCTCTGAAAAATGTCTGCTTTTGGAATGCTGCGTTACTTGACTTTTTGAATTCAGTTACTTCTGTTCATCTGCTACAACCGATAAACATTATAAGTTACGTGGGAAACTTGGAGGTGATTTCAGCACCATTCAAAACCTCTAGCCAAGTCGTGTTCACTAGCAAATGGGTCCTTGCTGTTTCAGTAGTACGGCACCTTCAGAGAATCTTCAGTCCCTGATGGAGAAGAACCAGCTGCTGACGGAGGAGAATCGAAAGCTGAGCCGAGGGCTGAGCGAGGCTGCTGGTCAGACAGCACAGATGTTGGAGAGGATTATTCTGGTAAGCTTCAGCTACCCAGGAAGACCTTTAAATTGTGTGATTTCCCCCTTGTAGCTAAAGATTGATCGATATCAGCTCCTGTACTGCTGCTGTTACGAATGTCTAATGTTCCTTTTGCATTTATTGAGCTGTCAGTCAGAACCAAAAGTCTTCCACAGCCTGGCAGAGCCTATAGATTTGGTGACTTCAGTGGGGAAAAGTAGATCTGAAACTTCCAGCTTTTCTGTTACTTTAATGTTTTAAATGCCAGCTCTTGTGGGTGCACACTCTCTTCCCTCTTCTCTGCTTTGTTGTGGTGTATATTCCTGAAAAATGGGGTGTTTTCTAAACAAACTGGAGGTGATAATCACACGAGATCTTTCGGTTAATTGATTTGCCACGTATCTTTTGCGACAAATAAATTAGTTCTTCTTATCTTGCTTTTCCTACAATTCAGTGTAATTCTGACTTCTTTTAGACAGAGCAAGAAAATGAGAAGATGAACGCTAAACTAGAGCAACTTCAGCAACACGCTGTGTAAGTCTGTTCCCATGCCCTGCTCGTGCTGAGGAAACGTCCTTCAGCGTTAAATGTTTTTGTTGGGACGAACTGGATACAGTCAATTCGTGTTTGTTCGTCCAGAGCTCATTTCTGTGTTTAGTAGGAAATTTATTCCTTATTGGCACGTGTAACACAAACTCATGGAGTTATTCTCATGTCTGCATTGCAGATGCAAGCTCGATCTGCAGAAGCTGGTAGAGACTGTGGAAGACGAGGAACTAAAAGCGGATGTGGAGGTGATTCGCAATCTGCAGCAAGTGTTGGCTCAGCTGCAGGTAAGAATTAATCCAGGGAGAGAAGCGTGTGTGCCAAGTGAGTTTGCTAATGAAACCCAAGGGTTCTTTTGCTGATCTCTGCAGAAAACTTGCTTGAGAAGACCAGGAGTTATAAGTATTAATAAGTATCAATATCCACTTCCAAACAAGCTGTCCTGCTCTGCTTTTAATGGTGCCGAAAGGCCACTGGTGCTTGAGTGGCTGTGCATGGTGGGGAAAAAGGAAGAGTCTCCATAAGAGTCTGACAGTGGGATATTAGCATGGATTTACAATCCAAAAGCTGGAAGGAGGGTTATAAACTGAGTTATTTTAATGAGCAACCCGAACTGCAGCGACCTGACATTGTTAAATAGAAGTTGCCAAAATCTTTGTTTGATTGAGGAACTTTGTTCTCTCTTGCTAGACATCCCCCCTGTTCCCAGACTCTGTACTCTGGGGAGGAGCTGGCTGCCCATGCCGGCGTTCAGGGCAGACAGAGTGCCTTGTCCAGCGAGCCTGGGAGGAGTGTGCTCTCTTTCCGAAAGGAGAAAGACAACCCTCTTTCCAGAGAGAGCTTTCTGGACAGAGGCACATAACATTATGCTTTGTCATTATAGGCCAACAGGCTTTTATTAGCTTTGTTTTACTTCATCTTCCACTTTTTACCAAAATTTTCTTCTCTTTGTGCTATATAGAGTGAAAATGCTGCCACAACGGAAGCTGCTGCAGAGATGGCAAACTCTGAACAGGATGGTACAGCTGTAAGTGAGGGGAGTCCAGCAGGGCAGACCTTAACAGGGACGTGCTTTATCTACAGCCTTAGGGTAGTTTTCTGATCAAAACGTTTGGTAAATAACGTGTGACCCGTGGGGATGCTGCCTTTCTATGCTCTTGCTTGCTCAATGCGTTCAAGATCGAGAACTTGTTTGTATTTCTGAGTGTCCGATTTTTTAATGTTCCAAGTGAATTTCAAGTGTTGTGCAGAACACGGTTAAGGAGCTGTACGTTGGCCTGTCCTGCTCATTGCTGTGTGTCCTCTAGGCAGCGGAAATGGGCCAGGATGCCAAGAGATCCTCGGATGACTTCAGCACCCAACACGCCCTCCGGCAGGCACAGATGTCCAAAGAGCTGCTTGAACTGAATAAAGTCCTGGCTCTGAAAGAAGCACTTGCCAAAAAAATGACCCAGAATGATAGTCAGCTGGAGCCCATTCAGTCCCAATACCAGGTAAACTCCTCTGAAATAGTTCTTCTAAGGCCACGTTCACTTCCTTTTTTCCTGTTAATGCAGTCCCTGCGTGCTGAGGAGGGAAGGGGAATTTTTATTTGAAGGCTTTACTACTCTTGTCTTTTCTAGACTAATATCAAGGATCTGGAATCGGAGGTCAGCAGTCTGCAGAAAGAAAAGGAGGAGCTGATCCTGGCTCTGCAGGCGGCAAAGAAGGACGTCAACCAAGCCAAGTAAGAGTGACTATACAGGGCTGCAAAAACCGTGTTAGTGTGCCTGTGAAAATTCATGATCTTGCACGGCTGCTCTTTGTAAAAACTCTCATCGTGCTGCAAAGGCGTCCCTTCAATGTGCTGTGTGAGTCGGGTGAATTGCAAAGAAGCCTGACTGTGGGCTTTCGTCAGTGGGAAAGATGATAAACCAAAATTGCTTTTCTTTTCTTAAAGTGTCTCTAAAGTTGGAGAGTATTTCTTTGAGAACAACAGTAATTAGTGAGGCTGGTTTTAAAGTGTAATTTTTATGGGTTTTTTTTTGGTAGGCTAAGTGAGCGACGTCGGAAAAGACTTCAGGAGCTGGAAGGGCAAATTAATGAGCTGAAGAAAAAGCTGAATGAGCAGTCAAAGCTCTTAAAGCTGAAAGAATCTACAGAGCGCACTGTCTCCAAACTGCACCAGGAGATCAGGGTAACTAACCAGTTCTCGAGCTTGCCCCAGTAGAGACAAAGCAGCTTCCAGACAGAAAGCACTCACTTTCTGTTTTGTTAGACCGAGAATACCAGTTCTTGGCAAGATTCCTGTGGCTGGGTGACCACGGCTGCTGCTGTAATTCGCTAGGCAGGTGGCTACTGAGGCTTGGAGGAAAAAAAAAAGAAGTCCAAAATGTCTTCTGGCTCTTCTGATAACATATTGCCTCAGTCAAATCACTCCACTTTGATTCCCATGTGTGCACCACGCATGTGTTTCTCTCCCATCTATGCCTTAAAAAATTAATTCCTGGACTTTAGCTCTTTTCCAATGTCCTGAGGCAGGTACTCCGAGTGGGCAGCACAGTGGAGTATTTCCCACCTGCCACTGCCCACCCCAACAGACACACAAGGAGAGTAGAGGTTGAAACTACCCAGAAGGCAAGTCTGGGACAATTCTTCCAGCCATTTCTATTTTTCAGGAAATGAAAACCCAGAGGGTACAGCTGATGCGCCAGATGAAAGAGGATGCTGAGAAATTCAGGCAGTGGAAACAGCAGAAGGACAAGGAAGTCATCCAGCTGAAAGAACGGGTGAGCAAACAATAAGACCCCAAACTGGACCTTCCTCTGAAGAGTGAAACAAATCTTAAAGAGTTTGCTGCGAGGCTTTAACTGACCAGCAGCTGGAGAACATCTGGGGAATGCTTTGAAGATAATGTTGGCTCATATGGTTGCCACCCGTTGTCGTAAATGGACTCACTCGCTTATGTCTGGAGACTTTAAACTATCGATGCAGTCGTCGTGTCTCAGCCCTAAAGCAGAAGGCAGAAATGTTTAAAATATTAAAGTTTTTAAAGTTGTGGGGTTTGGCCAGAGATGGGAGGTGTTTAAACGTCCAAAGAAATATTGAATCTGCAGGTAAACAGACTCGTTAATGAAATCTCACTGCTTGTAGCGTTCAAGTGTCATGGCCAGCAGACCTCTGTGCCTCTGGGAGTTCTTACTGTGACAAGTTTGCCCCTCAGGGCTTTAGGACTCTAAGTCTTAAACGCTTAGTTTGCAGCCTCTTACAGCCTTTGGGCTGCTAAACCTTTGGTAACGGAAAGTGTGGAGCCCCTTACAGTCACGTTAAGCCTCACGGCTGTTTGTCCTCAGAAGCCCTACACAGTTTACGCTTTTAACAATGAGAGAAATCATTATCCTGAAACACTCACATTGCAGAACAGCAAATGTAATTATTGTGTTCTGAGAAGTGTGAAACTGGCCATAAGCGTTAATGTGATGTGATTTTTTTTTTTTTTTTTCTTTCTCTAATCTGTCTTAATATTGTTTTCCTGCAGGATCGCAAGAGACAGTATGAGATGCTGAAGCTGGAACGAGATTTCCAGAAGCAGGCCAATGTACTTCGGCGCAAAACGGAAGAGGTAAGGAGCCCCTGTCTGCTAGAAGCTCCTGAGCAGATCCTAAAGGTCTGCAAAGTGTGGTTGGAGGTTGTTGTAGGATATGCAGAAACTTCTTAAAAGCAGTTTGGAGGTTTGGAAATGGATGTTTTTTCTCTCGGCTGAAAAATATCATCCCTCTGTTTTGTGACCTTTGAGGAATTCTAGTTAAATCTGCTCCTTAAAGGCTAGACTACCCTTTGAGCATCAGGCTGCTGTGGTAAATCTGTCACAGATACCCAACTAGAAAGTGTAAAATAAGCTTGAGCTGTGGATATCCTAGATTGCAATTCAGAATTCCTTCAGGGTGGCTGTATAGAAGAAACGCATTTTGAAATCATTGGTTTGGATCCTTTCTTCTACCTTTAGGCCTAGAAGCAGGGTTCTCTTTAAACTGGCAATCTCAGCAAAGGAAATAAAGTCAAAGACTGTAGTCTCAGCTTAATTCTAAATTTGTTCTTAAGTTGGTTTCTTAACCTTGCGCCCTCTTCTCACTGTCTGGCTTGTGCTGTGAACACCTTGTGTTCTCAGCAGCTGCAGATTAAGTTCAGCTTTTGTGCAAAACATTTTACAGGCGGCAGCTGCTAACAAGCGCCTGAAGGATGCTCTGCAGAAACAACGAGAGGCTGCAGATAAACGCAAGGAAAGTCAAAGCCGGGGAATGGAAGGAGTCGCTGCGCGAGTAAAGGTGGGTGACGGCGCGTTGTGCGTTCAAAGAAACAACGGGCACGCGTAGCTTTGTGAGCTCCGTCGGTGCTGCTGGGGAGCAGAGGGGGGGAACATGGAGGTGACGTGATTTTTCACTGTATCTGCAAAGGCATTTCGAAGGAGGATTTTAGTCCTGAGGTTGAGACTGCCTTGAACCACTATATTGGGTTTGGTTATGGGTTTGTTCTGGTTTTTTTTCTCCTCCAGAGCTGGCTTGCAAACGAGGTAGAGGTTCTCGTTAGCACCGAAGAGGCTCGACGGCACCTCGCAGACCTTCTGGAGGACAGAAAGATCTTGGCACAGGAACTCCTTCAGCTTAAGGAGAAGAAGGAGGCTGGGGAAAACCCACCTCTAAAGCTCCGGGTAAGAGAGAGGCCAGTGCTGCCCTGTGTCACACCTCTCTGGCTGTCACTCCTGTTCGATTTTTCCCTCAGAAGGTAGGGATGGGAGTGGTTGCCTTTCTGGAAGAGAGGGTTAATTAATGTGCCTCCTCTTTGTTGAAATTTCTGCAAATGAAGGCCCAGCCTTGCGTGCTTTCCTTCACCTGCTGCTCACTTCTGTCTGTTACTACAATTTCTTAGAGACGCACCTACTCCCTCGCGGATTTTCAGGCGTCAGAGGTGGACATTTCCCTATCGAAGCAGATAGAAAGCCTGGAAACGGAGATGGGGCTCAGGTAAGGCAGTGCCACAAAGCTGATTTGCCCGGTCTCGCCTCTGCTTTTCTTCCTCATCTCTGTTATGATGAAGTGAAACAGAAGAGAAAGCAAAATAACTTAGAAAATGGCACTAAAAATAAGACTATGTAGTTTTCGTGATCTGAATTTGTCCAGAACGTGGGAGGAGATGAGGACACTGCTTAGTCACAAAGATTGCTTTATTTTTTTTTATATTTTTATTGGTTTGCGAGAACACGTAGTTTTCGTGATCTGAATTTTTCCAGAACGTGAGAGGAGATGAGGACACTGCTTGGTCACAAAGATTGCTTTATTTTTTTTTTATATTTTTATTGGTTTGCGAGAATCTCTATATGAGCTTTGAATCAGAAGTGTGAAGGGGAGATGAAACTCCCTGGTGTAGAGTTGCAGATTCCTGTTGCTCTATTAAGCAGTCAGAATTTTAATCTGAAACACTTTGTCTAATATTCTGGTAACAGCAACTTCAGCTCAGGTTTTCTCCCGTGTCGTGACCTCAATTACATGTGTTCTTCCAAAGGAGCGCCCAGATAGCAGATCTGCAGCAGAAACTTTTAGATGCAGACAATGGAGATCGTGCGAAACAGCGTTGGGACAACATTGCGACCATTCTCGAGGCGAAATGTGCTTTGAAATATCTCCTCGGAGAGGTAAATTCTGAATTTTCCTGAAAACAAAGATTCTAAGTCTGCTTAGCCAGGAGGGAAGGGAAGTGACAAGCAGGCCGACAGCAGAGATGAATTCAAGTGAAGTCTGCTTGTACTGGATGAGCTTTATTTCCCTTGCAACTTCTGATTAACACATTTCCCTGTAGAACACTCTAGGGAGTGAAATCCAAAAAACAAGGAAGAAGGAAACAATAGATGGAGATCTGGCGATATTGGTTAAAGCTGTGCTTGCAGAAGTCTTGCGTGGGAAGAGACAAATTTGAGAAGCAGAATAAAATAGAAAAAAATACCTAAAAATACTTTTTGGACAAGTAGGCAATCTGCAGGGCAATGAGGGGAGTGCTCTGAGGTCAGAGTGGAAGCAGCGCAACCGATGTTGAGATGAGAGAAGCTTGAGCAAGGCCAGGGCTGGGAGAGGGTAGGAAATGGGCTGATGGGGAATCAGGGCAAGAACGACCAAATGAGAAGAATAATCTATTGGTCACTGGTGCTTGGAAAGCAAAGAAGAAGGAGGGAGCCAGTATGGGAAAACATTCATTTTAGGGGGCATCTCTGATCTTTCCAGCTCTTAGGGTGCTGGAAACCAAAGAGAAATGCTTCGCCTGCAGGCTGCGGCGTGTCTGTCCCAGCAGGCGCTCCCAAACGTGGAGCTCACTGAGCCAAGGGATCGCCTTGCTTTTTTTTTGTGTCTTTCAGCTGGTCTCCTCCAAAGTGCAGGAAAGCAAGCTGGAGAGCAGCCTGCAGCAGAGCAAAGCCAGCTGTGCAGACATGCAGAAGATGTTGACTGAAGAGCGAAATCACGTAACGGAGATGGAGGCCGAGTTCCAAAATCAGCTTTTGGTGCAGGAACAACACCACCAAGAAAAGGTAAAACGCAAAGCGACAGAAATCGCAAGAGCTCCTGCTTCTTGGGACTCTGAGCCTCAGATCTGCTCAGAGAGAAAGGCAAAGGGCGTGTGCTGAAACCAATGTGGTGCTGATCAAGATTCGTTAGACTCTGGCAGGTAGTTGATAAAAGTCCATCTTCCTACGGAAGTTGTTTTACTCAGCAGCTTCTGGTAGTGCTTTAAGTGAGGATGTTGCACCTGAGCACAAAGTCGATCGGGGCAGAATGAAATTTTTCTGGAATTGTTGAGGCCTTCTACTCCTGAGCTGCCGGATGTCTCTTTAGGAATTCAGGCCTGATTGCCTCTGCTCGGTTAATTTGCTTTTAGGTTCTCTACCTGCTCAGCCAATTTCAGCAAAAAGAAGCAGCAGAGAAGAGATTGGAGGATTCGCTCAGTGAGCAGGAGAAACAGCTGCAAGAGCGACTCAAATTCCAGGTAGAGAGGGGTCGAGAGGGGGATTGGGGAGGGGGCATGTGTGTGTGTGTGTGTTTAGGATTGATGTTACCTGGTACTTGGAGTTCAGAATTTGTTGATAAGCCTTAGAAACAGAAGGAGTTTTAGATCGTAAATGGCCGCCCTGGAAGGATCAAATTCTCGGTGCTGGCAGGGTTATGCACAAAATAAGGTGGTAGCACTAACGATTTCCCTGATCAGTCAGAGCCCATCTCCTGCTGGAGAATAGAGAGAAGCCCCTCTGAATGTGCAGGAAAGATCCAAACAGAAAAACACATCCCATACAATTGTTTGTGCCCCCATCAGCCGACAGATTCCCTCTTTTCTGGCAAACAGGAGGAAGAGCTGGAGAAAATGAGGGAGATCTGTGAGAAGAACCAAGACCTTATCCATGAGAACGATACTCTTAAACAGGTAAAGGTCTGGTCAGACTTCAGTCAAGAGAGCTTCTTGACAGTTGCATTTGTGTATTTTGCAAACTAATTTTTTTTTTTTTATCTCTCTTAACAGAAACTGTTGCTCCTCCAAGTTGCCAGTGGACAAAGGCTCCACCGTGTTCTCCAAATGCAGTCCGAGTCCTCAGATTCTTCCTTTGATTATATTCCACCCAAGGTAAAGATGCTTCATACTATTTTCTGTGCTTGTGTTGTACCTGGGTTCTCTTTGAAAGTTAATGCTGGCTGTTAATGGTCTTGGTTTCTTTCTCCTAAGCTGCTTTTTACGCAGCATCTTGTTCTGCTGGCTGAAGCAGGCCTGTTCTCTGCGTCAGACAGTCCTTAAGGCTTCTGTTTTCAGAATGCTTCTGAAACCAGCTCGCACCAGTTTTTAGATATTTTAAAAAAAACAAACACCAAAACTCAAACCTGTTTCCTCAGTGTCTAATTATGTTGGAGTCTGTATCCTCCTTAGTAACCCGGGTGTTTTCTCTGTAGCATTTCCAGTCTCTGAATTACAGACCCAGGCATCTGTCGCAGAAAATGTAATCAAAGAGCCAAATCTTAGTGCTGGGAGGAATAAACCATCTAAAACTACGTCGCCAAGGCTGTGACACAAAGCTATTAATTTTCCAATTTTACAAATTTCCAATTTTACAAACTCAGTTTAAATTGTCAGCAATTAAAAATTCAATTGGTCAACTTGACCTTTTTGTCTCCTCCCTTAACCCTACGTCCTGCTTTGGCTGTCCCAGAGGAGCAGGGCTGGGCTGGTGGGACTCTGAGGTGCACTAATGAAACATAAACCCGCTGTTACTCCTTCTGGGCCCCTCAACCCTTGTAATTTCCATGTGCAGCCCAAGACTCGCCGGCAGACGACAGCAAGACCCCGAGCACCGACCCCAGAAATGGACGTGAAAGAGCTGTTCTCCGACTCGGAGGAATCTGGAGCGGAGCTGGAGGATGCGGACTGGGTTCCAGTAAAAGCAGTTAAAGGAACAAAGAAAAGCACAGCGGGGGTAAGATGCGGTGGCCTTTGCCTTGTTGTCACTCCTTGCTGCTACCCCGAAGGACCGTGTGTGTGTGTGTAGAAGTGGTGAGCACTGGTGTTCCCACTGAGCCCTTCTCCTTTCACGGAGGGGTAAATTATTACATATTTCACTACTGAGTAACTGTGAAAATGCCAGCAGTAACCACAGAAAAGCTTCTAAATTTTAAGCTCTAGTTGCTCACAGTGGAGCTCGTCAAGCGGATGAATTCTGAACTGTGCTGTCGGCTTGATTGTGGGCAGTTCTGTTGGCGGTGTTGCAGGAAGGGAGGGTTTGTGCTCCGTGTTAGCAGTAGGGATCCATCCCTCCCGCACGCCAGGAACTGGCTGAATTGGGTCACCTCCCCCTAGATGGAGGGTCCGAGATACCGTGACTCAGGTTTGCCTCCTGGTGTGCAAACGTTCCCTTGTTTTACTGCCACAACCTGGCATCCTTCTGGGTAACTTGGGGGTCGGGGGTTGGCTGGAGATGCTTCTCTTGGGGATGCTAAAGCAAGAGATGGCTCTCGAGGTGCAAAGACCTCGTTGGTTGTTTTTAACCAGGGATGTAGGGCTGACAGTAAAAAGTCTGTGGTAATTTTGGGGATGGCAAGTTGGTTCAGGTGTCAGAGTCTCCAAAAGACCAGAGCCTTTGCTGCACAGACTCTTCTCTTCCCGACAGTGCTCCTGCAAGGGCCGCTGTGGGAACAGGCAGTGCGGCTGGCGGCGGCAGAAGATGGGCTGCACCGAGGGCTGCAGCTGTGACTTGGCGAGGTGCAGGAACCGAGAGCCCAGCACCCCGGTGAGTAGCTCCCCTTTTGGGGGTGTGCCCCCACATCCAGATGGCACAGTTGTCAGCCGTGGATACGAAGACGAACAGTTTCGGCTTTGCTTTTGCACTTAGTAAATAAAAAAAATTGCATCTTTAGCTTCAGGTGGCACAAAAAATTTAACTCGTTTTCAGGTGTTGGAGTTTTTTTTGTTTGGTTTTGTTTTTTTAAATGGGAGGGGATTGTAGTACCAGGAAGGTTGATGAGCAACTGATATTCATTAGAGAACTGGAAATGTCTGCCTCACTTTTGGATCGTGGAGATTTGAAGCAGAGACGTCCCGTAGTCATTTTTTATTGACTATTTTAGGATATTGGTTGCCTGACAGTGGCACCTGGCATCCTGTACGATAAATGACTTTGCAGCTGGAGGGAAGGTGGTTTAGGGATCCCGAGTGTTGCTTCTGCTCTTGGGGAAGGAAGGGATGGATGTTGTAAAAGTGCTCCAAGTTAGTCCTGCCCCTCAGGATCCCGCACTGTGTCAGGACCAAACAAAGGCCTCTGAAATTCCCTTCAAACTCGAAGACCCCACTGAAGTGACCCCAGGAGAGAGCTTCTTCCAGGCTGTGTACGTCACGCCGACCAAAAAGGTACTGCCGAAAGAGCCACGGTTCTGTCTGTGCACACCTTGCTTGGGGTTTTGGTTGATCTTAAAGGGAAACGGAAGAAAAAATGACCCCCCAAAAAACCCTTCAGGATGGTGATAGACTGCCGCTCGAAAATTCTGAACACACCGCAGCTGTCGAGCCAGCTTGTATCTGAGTCTGAATTCTTAAGTTTTCGTACTAACACTTTGCCCTGAAAAACAGATTCACTTCTCCCCCATGCACGCTCTGCAGGCTATTGCAAACACCGTCTGCCCCTGCTCAGCCTGTGAATTTGCCCTTCTCCAGTGACCAACTCCAAAATCGTCTTCCTTTCCTGACAGGTCCTGAAAGATAACACAGACCAAGATTTGCTCCTGAAGAAACCCAGCGCTGCGGCTGCTGCTTCCCTGCTCGTGACGGACGAGGAATCCCGAGAGAACCAGGCGCCGTTTGTGAAGAGAAAGAAGAGGATGCTGAGCAGCAACACCAGCTTCTTCTCGGGCTGTACTCCCATTAAAGAGGAGCTGGATGCTCTGTGACTGGGCTGGGCTGGGCTTCCTTACACCCTGGTGCTGGGGACTTTTTAAGAAAGCGTCAGGATCTCTTGTTCTGCAGCAGGAGCCCGCTGGCTGCCGTGCCCACAGCTGGTTGCAGCAGCAGGGGAAGTCAAACATGGTTTGTTGTCCAGTTGTTGTCCAGTTCTTTGTAAATATTTATATGTGTGGGTCTCGGGCCAACAGTTAAGAAACTTCCCTCTGGAATTTCTGTAGTGAGTGAAGATTTATCCAGGTTGCTCATTACAGCTGCCTGTCTCATCCTGAGCTGTGAAACATGTTCAGTACAAGTTAATCCGTGATCTTGAAAGAACTTGGTGATTGCACTGGAAATGTGGGCGCTGACTCTTTGAGTGCAGCTGCCCTGGGAGATCCACTGGTGCTCGATCTCAGCGAGACGCTGTCTGTTGTCTTAAATGAGCTGGCAGGTACGAACAGGTCAGTGTTCCTGTACCCTTGGGGGCACTGCTCTCTCCTTGTTAGAAACTTGCTAGCCATTATGTGAATATTGTAGTAATTTTAACTTGGTTCTGTAGCTTTAATAAAGTAACTATTAAAAAAAACCCCTGACTTTTAATTTTACATTATTGTGTAGAATGAGCCACCCAGGCACTGTGAGGTCTCTGCAATTAAAATTTGGTCTCAAAGCTGTTCCAGCAAAGGAGAAAATCAAAAATAGGGTTAGTTGTCTTATTTTTTTTCCTCTGATGGTAATGGTGACCAGCCCTACCTGCGCTTCAGCTTGCAGCCGGAGGCTGTGTTACTGCTGTCCCATCACTGAGCTGCAGAAGATTCTGGAGTTTGTCTCGGGCTCGCTGCAATATTAACCATTACGTGACTTCTGGCTCGCTGCGGGCTGGGCAGGAGCTGTTCAGACATGCCTTTAATGAATGTCAAAGGATAACTGCAGGCTTCCTCCTAAATAAAATCAGTATTAGGGTGAAGGAGCAGTATTAACTCCCTGCTCTCTGATGATCTTGTTCCTTTTCCGAGGTGCAGTGGGAGCAGAGCTCTTGTGGTAGAAGCAGAATCTGTCCTTTCTACTTCCCAAGCAGAGAAAAGGCTGTGGTAGCTGTGAGGTGGTTTCAAAACAATTCAAACACGCTTTGGGAGGACTTTGCCCAGCAAAAGGGCATCCCCCTTCCTCCCACCAACCTTCCTGTTCTTTGCGCCGAGGTTTAGAAACTGTGAGTCAGGATCCTGTCATGTTTGGAGAACAAAGGCGCAGCACAAAGGCAACAAATCTGCAGGCGCTGAAACACAAGGTAACAAATGCCTGTGGCTTAAGCAAACTTGTCCTACTTGTAGACAGGATTATGAAGTAATTCCCCCGGGCGGCTGCTCAAGGAGGTGGCCGGGGTGTGGCTGATGGGGCAGGTTGGAAAAATCTTGAACCGGTTTAATGAAAAAGAAAATAAGACTCAGCGTAACAGTGCAGATGCTGAACCATGTGCTGGTATTATAGAAGCACGCAAATGTATTCAAAGCCAGAAGCGAATATGTCACTGTGGAACCCCACGCCTTTCAGGTGACAAGGGCCTGAGCAGAAAAGGCCCAGACTGGACTCAATAGCAGACGGGAGAACCCAGCACAGAGTCCTGATGACAGTCAAAAAAAACCAAATAAACCTAAAAAACCCCACAAAACCCCAAAAAAACCCCAAAAAAACCAAAACCAGAAAAGGAGCTGTGCTGCTCCCATCCAGAGGAGCAGGGGAAGATGCCCTGTC